CATTCCCAAAATACAAAATGTGCCGTTTGGATGGCATGAGAGATCTTGTGTACTCCTTAGAAAGAGCGAGAACATAAAACCATTTCTGTTTCATTGTTGTGGTTTTTTAACTTTACCTTTTTCCCCCACCTGGCGGATGGGGGGGGAGGGCACCTATCACACGATTTTTAAAATTCAGTATAAAACGAGAAGCACAGTCTTTTGTTCCATCCTATCCTCCATCTCTCTCCAGGAGTAACCATCTTTACGGCTTGCATCTCTTGACAAGTTCCTCATCTCAAAACCCTTAATGTAATTACATAGTAAGTTCTCAAAGCGTTCGCTACTGCTACTACTGTTGTTAACTTTTTCGTTCATCAAACAAGACATGCAATGGTAAGAGACACAGCCATACTGAGAAGCAAAATGAGATGGTAGTTGAGAGGGGAAGGAAGGGTAGCCATGCTAAAATCCTCATCCATCAGAGTGAGGCATCAAGAGACGCTATCTAAAGCTGATGGATGGATCAATAATAGATATTTTTTAAGTGTACTATTTAGGATAAATGATGGAAGAATTAAAAATAATAAATAACAGGGTGGAGGGAAGGGATAGTTAGGGAGTTTAGGGTTGACATGTACACACTGCTATATTTAAAACAGATGACCAACAAGGACCTACCGTATAGCTCCGGGAACTCTGCTTAGTGTTATGTGGCAGCCTGGATGGGAGGGGAGTTTGGGGGAGAATGGATACATGCATATGTATGGCTGAGTCGTTTTGCTGTGCACCTGAAAGTATCACAACGTTGTTAATCAGCTATTCTCCAATATAAAATAAGAAGTTTCAAAAAAAAACAGTAAATAACAGAGACTGGAAAGGAAGAATAGATGATGTAGGTTTCTTATTTTTCGTAGTGGGAGTCAGCAGATAGTCATTGGGTAAATAAGCCAAGAAATGAAAGTGAGAGCTCAGTATACGGACATAGAGCCATGCTTATGAGGAATCCTAAAAGCAAGCTATAGAGATAGCTTGAGAGATCTTGTGTACTCCTTGTGGTAGAAAGTATACTCCTTTCTACCACAATTAGCAGGCACTGTGTAGTTTACCATTTCTTTAGCTCACACATCATTGTGACAGGCATTTATTCGGTGTCTACTGTGCAGCAACCATGATGCTGGGCTGCTTGTACGATAGGTCTCCTTAGCCTCCTAGCAGCCCACAGGATAGGAAGATTTCAGTGCAGTCATTCTGAGTCTTGATTTCCTCATCAATGAAGTGGGGAAGGGCCTTGCTCAAGGTCACACAGCGAGTAAGTGTTGGAGCCAGAGCTGGAACCGGGTCCAGCTGCAAAGCATGCGCTGCCACCGCCCCCTCTAAGGTCACCTCCGGGGAATCCCAGGGCCTCAGGTTCCCAGCCCTTTTTGTCCCCTTGGCTCTGAGGGCTCCCCGGCTCCCCCCCTCATCGTCCCCCTACAATCCTAGATGAAGGAGGAGCGTTTCCGGCAGCTGTTCACCGCCTTCGGCACACTGACAGACTGCAGCCTCAAGTTCACCAAAGACGGCAAGTTCCGCAAGTTCGGCTTCATCGGCTTCAAGTCCGAGGAAGAGGCCCAAACAGCGCTGAACCATTTCAACAGGAGTTTTATCGACATGTCCCGGATCACGGTGAGTGGGTGTGAATCTCGCCCTCTCCTGCCTGGCAACAGCGACCCACTGTGGGCTCTTTCTCTCCACGCTCAAGTCCAAAGCCTGTCCCCTTCCAGACCGTGACATCTTTGGTCTTCCTCACTGTTCTCAAGCTCCCATGCTTGTGAATCCCCTGCAGCGTTTGCGGAAACAGTTTCCCCAGAGTTTCTGATTCTGTATGCTGGGGGAGGGGATCCAAGAATTTGCACGTCTCACGGGCTTACAGGTGATGGTGATGCCGCTGGTCCCAGGATGAGAAGCGCTGGTCTACATTATTCATCCATTCGCGCAGTCATTGGCTGAATTGCCTGTGCCGGGCATGGTGGCAGGTGTCATCATCCCCCTCTCTGTCCCTCGCAGGTAGAGTTCTGCAAGTCGTTTGGGGACCCGACAAAGCCCCGAGCCTGGAGCAAGCATGCCCAGAAAACAAGCCAGTCCAAGCCCCCTCCGAAAGACAAAGACCCCATCTCCCCAGAAACTAAGAAGGTGCATGGATGGTCACTCCTGGCCGCATCCGGGTGTCAGCAGGGTGGTCACCCGGGGAAGGCAGGGGAGGGGGAGGGACCTGAGAATCCCTCGGACGGTTCCCTCCCAGGGCAGTGCGTTTCTGTCTCCTTTCATCGTGACCCTCACCACCTGTGCCTTCTGTTTTTAGGGTGACAAGAAGAAAAAGGTAGCAGGTGAATTGGAGAAGGTGAGTCTGTCCTGGTGACAAGCGGAGGGCGGGCAGCAAGGGGGGGCCCGGTGGGCAGTGCCTTGCCTTGGCTGTGGCTCCTTGGTCTTTCTGTCTGATGAAGAGTCCACGCCGCCCTCCCTGGGACTGACCTCCCCAGCTGGCCCCAGGGGTCCTCTAGAGACTGGGGGAAATGGCCTCGGAAGATGTGCTTACCCTTCGAAGAGTTAGCAAGGGTGAGCCCTGCCTGAGCCTTCTCTGCCTGTTCTCCCTCCTTCCCGCTTCCCTGCCGCCCGGCGCCTGCAGCTGAGGGAAGATAACGAGTTCCAGGAGTTCCTGTCAGTTCACCAGAAGCGGACGCAGGCGGCCACCTGGGCTAATGATGCCCTGAACGTTGAGCCCTCGAAAGGGAAGAACAACTTGGCCGACGACTACCTGAACTTCGACTCTGACTCAGGGCAGGAGAGCGAGGAGGAGGGAGCCGAAGAAGCCCCGGAAGGTGAGGGTGTGGCCCCTGTCCGAGTGCACGCCCTGCAGCATGACCTGGGGCCCCTCCCGCACCGGGCCCAGGAGACAGCGAGTCAGCCGCTGCCCTGTGGAGCAGTGATTATCTCGCCTACGGGTACGTCGGCTTTGGTTCCTTATTCAGTCAGTTGATTACTCAGATATTGATTGAGCACCAAGTGTATGCCAGGCGCTGCTTCAGGCATTGGGGGTATAGGAGTGAGCAAAAGACAGGGAATCCTGCCCCCGTGGAGCTGTCGCCCTGGTTGGGGAGAGAAACAATAAAGACATTGGTCTCCTGTTTAGTATATGATTTGAATACTGGTGCTGCAGGGAGAAAGCAGGAAAGGGAGGAGGAAGGCCTCCGAGGAGGTGGCCCTTGAGCAAAGGACGTGAGAGAGTGAATGTCTGTCCTCAGAAGGGGGTCACGGTATCATGGGGGGGCCGTATGGACCTGTGAGCAATTGTAGCTCAGCATGGTGAGTGCCGTGGTCGTGGGGTGGGAATCGACTTTGGTTAAAAGGTGAGGGAATGAATTTAACGTGAGTTTTATGGCTGTTAAAGTCTCTCTGCAAAGCTGGGATCCAAAGGACTCACTGGGAGTTGGTGCGACTCAGAAGGGATGGGGGGAGAGAAGGGGTTCCAGGCAGAGGGGACAGCATGGCAAAGGCGCAGAGGGAAGGAGAAACAGGAACTTGGAGGGGGGGTCCACACGGCTCAGGGGGGCTGCAGCAGTGGGAGGGGGGGGCACGCGGCTCAGGGGGGGGGGGGTCCACACGGCTCAGGGGGGCTGCAGCAGTGGGAGGGGTGTCCACGTGGCTCAGGGGGGCTGCAGCAGTGGGAGGGGGGTCCACACGGCTCAGGGGGGCTGCAGTAGTGGGAGCCGGTGAGAAGCCAGTGAGCTCACCGGGTCCGACGAGGAGTTTGGGTTTCACCCTGAGAGCATCTGGGAGCCCCTGGTGTCTTTTGATCAAGGAGTGAGAGTCCTCTCTGTAGGTTCAGAAAAGTCACGCAGCCTCGCAGTTGGTGAGGCTGGTGAGGGAACCCTGAAGTTCTCAGTGTGTAGCACGGAAACTGTCAAAACTTCACCAGTTTCTCCCCACTTGACGGTATTTATTCAAGGACCTACTGGGGACTGGCTGCTTGGCATGGAGCCCCTGGTCACCGCAGGCTTGGCACCTTACGTGCCACCCACTGGTCACACCCCCATGCTGTCTGCCCTCCAGCCCTCTCGTTTGCTCACAGCCATCACCGGCTCCCAACCTCTCTGTTTTTCCAGAGGAGGACAGCAGCCTGGAACCCAAGGCAGCCGCACGGAAGGAGCTGTCGGACATGGATTACCTGAAATCCAAGGTGGTGGAGGCCGAGTCGACATCCTCAGAGGAGAGTGAAGATGAAGCCGTGAACTGCGAGGAAGGGAGCGAGGCCGAGGAAGAGGGTTCCTGCACCCCCGCCGCCCAGCAGGACAGGGAGGCGGCCCAAGCCAAGGTGTGTGTGCATCGGGGTGAGCTTGGGAGCCTGGGGAGGGAGGAGGTGTGCTTGGCCCTCGCCCACGTTCCCTGCAGCCCCTCTGTCGGGGCCTGTAACGTCGGGGAAAGACAGCTCAGCGGCCCAGAGACCTGCCTTCAGGTCTCGGTACTGCTGCTTGCTTGCTGTGTGACCCTGGGCAAGCATCTTCCCTCTCTGAATTTATTTCCTGTAGCTAACGCAGAGGCTGCCTGCCCCTCTTGACTTGGGGGGGAGGGGGGCGTAAATGAGCCGAAAAAGTATCCCAGGCACATTGTACTTCGTAGTTACTAGCAAGGTAGACAGGTGTGAGCCCGTAATCAACAATAACGGATGAAATTAATTGAGCACTTACTACATGTGAGGTTCAGTACCTGGCGTGTCATTTGTCGTTGAATCTCACAGGGATCTTGGGGGATGGGGATTCTTGTCCCCTTTTACAGGTGAGGAAACTGAGGCCCAGAGAAAGGAAGTGACTCGCTCAAGGTTTCAGCTGGGAAGCGGTGGGGTCAGCACCCAGACCTAGGTCTGCTGGGCTCTGGAGTCTAGATCATAAACGTGGGTGCCTTCTCTGGGGATGGCCGCCCCATCTTCCACCCGGGGGTCCTCTCTGCTTAGGGCAGCTTCACACATCCTTTGGGTCTTCATTCTTCATCTCCCTCCTCCTCTTTCTCCTTCCCTCTCCCCCTCCGTTCATTCTCTTTCCC